AGCCCGGCGACCCCCGACCTCGTCCCCGAGTCCCCCGCAGCAGCCGGGGATGGGGACGGCCCCGCAGGCGTGAGGTCCATCCTGACCAAGGAGCGGCGGCCCGAGGGTGGCTACAAGGCCGTGTGGTTCGGCGAGGACATCGGGGCCGAGGCCGACGTCGTGGTCCTCAACACGCCTGCCTCGGATACGGAAGGCGCGGGAGACGAGGGCAGCGCCGACGAGGGCAGCGCCGACGAGGATGCTGCCGCGGGCCCGGGCGGGGGTCCCCCCGACGACGCGCCCGGTGCCAACTCCACCTACATCTAGTGCCCCCCCCACCCCCGCAGAATAAAGTGACACTTCCGAATCGCGCGGGCGCGGCGTTCAGTGGCTGCGCACGAGGCGGCGAGGGTGCGGTGGGACGGAGTGGGGCGGGCGGAGGGTCCCCCTGCACCCAGCGCGCGGCGCGGCTTCCCGTAAACCACCTGCTGCGCCGCCAGCCGTGGGGCTTCCCAGGCTCCGTGCCAGCTGGTGGCTCGAGTTCCGCTCTGGCTGCAACCGCGGCTGCAGGAGGGCGCCCTGAAGTGTGTGTGTGGGGGGTGTTCCCTGTCGACCCAACGCGGCGACTCTCGGCCTGGGGGAGGCTCAGGAGCCACCTCGCCAGGGCAGCCCTGGAGAGCGCTCCGAAAGTTAGGTCCCGGGCCCCTCCAGGGGCCACAGCATCTGTGCCTGTGGGGTCCGCTGGGAGACGTAAACACCCAAGTGCTTGGACAGTGGCCCGTGGTGCGGGGTGGGGCGGCCAGTGTGACAGGAGCCAGAAGCAGGGGCCAGGCCGTGGGCCGGGGGGTGCGGGTGGGATAGATTGGTGAACCTCCAGAAGCTGTGGGGGCAACCAGGGCCACAGAGTGGGGGATGTCCTCTGCTGGACATCCATCCTGACCGCCACCACACCGTCCTTTGTGGGTTCATTCCCTAATGAAATGGCATCACGAATTAGTTTCCAAACGTTTTAATATCGAAGATATCTGCACAATTCTCATTGTCAAGTACCCAGATTGTACAGCTACCCCGGTCCCATGCCTTCCCCTATAATCCACTTCCCCGCGCAAAAAAAGAGGCGCTTGCTTTCGTTTGGAGTCCGCGAAGTCCCCAGCTTAACGTACTGAATCCCACCCCAGGCTTCTGCGTGTAGGGGATGCTACGGGAGGTAGGGAAGAGAGAGGAGCGACTGGACACCGCAGGGGCTGAACCTGGCAGGCAGACGGCATCCGCCATTCCTGCGGCCCCTCCGCGAACCCCGCCCCAGCCGTGGGTTGCACCCCCACCCAAGAGCCTGCACGAGGGCTCTGGGAACACAACGCGCGCACCCCCCAGCCACGGGGAAACAGTGCGCGGAAGCACGTGACCTCAGCTGCACCTGAGCCCCGCAGGGCCCGGCCCCGCCCTCGGCTCCACTTTTTTTCCCGCCCCCGGCCCCGCCCCCGGCCCGCCAGCATAAAAGCTCTGGCTTCGGGTCTCCCAACGTGACAAAACTTCCCGTCCCGGCGGCTCCGGTTCCAGGTACTTGAGACCTCTACCCACGTAGGGCCAGAAAGGCAGCTCCGGGTTCGGGTGGAGGGGGCGAGTGTCTGAGGACGGGCGGGGGTCGCTGAGGGCGGGCCGGGGATGGTGGAGAAGGGGAGGCGCCTGCCTCGCGGTTGAGGGTTAGGTTTCGTTTTCCGGCGCCGCGCGGTTTCGCGGTTTCGCTTTCCCGGCGCCCGGCCCCTGCAGCAGTCGTTCCCGTCGCGTCTCCGCAGGTCCAGCCTGCGAGTCTTGCGGGCCCGGACGCTGGCTCAACACCTGTGACTTCACGTGTGCGCGCTGCCGCATCTGTCGTCACACCCATCGCCACCTTTGCCAAGAAACCCACACCTGGGCAACGTCGTGGTTATAAGTCTTCAACCCATGTCTGTGACCCTAACACCTGTAACATCTGGGTCACGCTTGTGACGCCTGGCCACACTACTTGTGGCGACATATGAGCAACCCTTCCCACACCTGTGGAAACACCCGACTACCACTCGTGACCACAGCCCCTCGCAGCGAGAGCCATGGCCGCCGCCCGCGATAGGTGAGAGCCTGGCCAGCCTGCCCGGCGCCCGCCCCCGCGTCCCCGGCCCTGCGGCCCGCGGCCTGACCGGCTGGTTGCTCCGCCCGCAGGGGGGCCCCGCGCGTGCTGTTCGCAGACTGGCTTCTGGGCGAGGTCAGCAGCGGCCGCTACGAGGGGCTGCGGTGGCTGGACGAGGCCCGCACACGCTTCCGAGTGCCCTGGAAGCACTTTTCGCGGAAGAACCTGGGCGAGGCCGACTCGCTCATCTTCAAGGTGGGACCCCAGCCCGCCCCGGGTGGGAAGGCCCGCCCGGGCCCCAGCCTGGGCCCAGGCCCACGCCCTGTGTCCCCTTCCCTAGGCCTGGGCCATCGCCCGCGGCAGGTGGCCGCTCAGCAGCGGCCCAGGCAACCCGCCAATCCGCGAAAGTGCACTCCGAGCCGGCTGGAAAACCAACTTCCGCTGCGCACTGCGCAGCACTCAGCGCTTCGTCATGCTGCACGACAATTCCGCGGACCCCGCCGACCCGCATAAAGTGTATGAGCTCAGCTCCGAACCGCCGTGGAGAGGTAAACAACGGGGAGGCAGCGGTCAGGGAGGGGTCAGGGAGGGGTCAGGGAGGCCAGGACGGCCAGGGCAGAGGAATGGCCTGCACATGCTGCTGGCACTTTGGTGGCAGCCGCTGGGTCAGGGATGTTGTTTGAGAAACTGGTCTGGAAAGGCTGGTGCCAGGTTGTTAGGGAAGCTGATGGGGCCCATTGGGACTTAGTGTCTCAGGTCATCCCAAATCTCCCCCAGAAAGTCCAGGCATTAACCAGGGGGAGCACAAGGCCCTTGAGGATGCCTCATCCTGGAGGGTAAGGCTGCTCGGCCCCGCTTGCTCCTGGGGATGGGGCAGGGGACTGTCGCTTCTCAGTGGGCTGGAGGCCGCTTCCGTTTGCACTGTCTTCCCCTGCAGGGTGGGCTCCCTAGGCCACATCTGGTAGATGCTGGTGAGAGGCTGGGGCCTGCGCCCAGTGCCCCAAGCCCCGGCCTGGCAGGCTCCACGGGGGACCTTCTGCTCCAGGCTCTGCAGCAGAGCCACCTGGAGGACCATCTGCTGGACGGTGCCCAGGAGGTGGACCCAGTCCCCCTAGAGGCTCCTGGTGAGAGGCTGTTGGATAGGGGTGCTCTGCCCCGGAGGGGCAGGCAGGACAGCAGAGTCCCTGGGGAGGGCGTCCAGCCGGGATGGTGTTCCCACTGTCGTCCGTCCTCCTCAGGCCCAGAGCTCCCTGCTGAGCAACCATACCTGCCGTGGGCCATGGAGGTGGCCGCCAGCCCCAGGTCACAGCCCCAGGTCGCAATGACAGGTGAGTCAGAGGAGCCAAGGGACATGTGGGGAAGGAGGGCTGGGACCAGGTGTCAGCTCAGGCCTTTTCCCCAGATGCAGGCCCCGCCCCAGAGCCCTGGCAGCCCCTACAGGAGACGGAGCCGTCCACCCAAGTGGTGGGGCCCAGCCACCCACAGCCCAGTCTGCACGTGGAGTCTGGCCTGGGGACCCTGGACGTGACCATCATGTACAAGGGCCGAACAGTGCTGCAGGAGGTGGTGGGGCGCCCGCGCTGTGTGCTGCTCTACGGGCCCCCTGGTCTAGCCAGCGAGGCCAGAGAGCCCCAAGAGCCCCAGATGGTGGCCTTCCCCAGCCCAGCCGAGCTCCCTGACCAGAAGCAGCTGCACTACACAGAGAAGCTGCTGCAGCACGTGGCCCCGGGCCTGCAGCTTGAGCTCCGGGGGCCTGGGCTGTGGGCCCGGCGCCTGGGCAAGTGCAAGGTCTACTGGGAGGTGGGCGGCCCGCTGGGCTCCGACAACCCCTCCACACCGGCCCGCCTGCTGCAAAGGAACTGTGACACCCCCATCTTTGATTTTGGCACCTTCTTCCGAGGTCAGTGGTGTACCTACCCCTGGGACTGCAGTGCGCTGTCCCCGCCCCGCCCCCTCACTGGTGGCTCTGTCCTGCAGAGCTGATGGAGTTCCGGACTCGGCAGCGCCGAGGCTCTCCACACTACACCATCTACCTGGGCTTCGGGCAGGACCTGTCGGCTGGGAGGCCCAAGGACAGGAGCCTGGTTCTGGTGAAGGTGAGGTGCAGGGTCCCATGTGGGGGAGGTGCTGCTGCCCCAGCCTGACAGCGCCCTCTCCACAGCTGGAGCCGTGGCTGTGCCGCGCATACCTGGAGAGCGTGCAGCGGGAAGGTGTGTCCTCCCTGGACAGCAGCAGCTTCAGCTCTGCTCTGTCTAGCTCCAACAGCCTATATGAGGACCTGGAACACTTCCTGGAGCACTTCCTGATGGAGGTGGAGCAGCCTGCCTAGGGCCAGACCCCAGACCTCCCCGAGCCAATAAAACGAATGAAGAACCAGTGCTGGTGTCCTGACCAGGGGCGGGGGCGGGCCGGGGACTTGGGAGGGAGGCGACCACCCGTACCACAAGAAACTCACGAAGAAGCTCACGCCGCACTCTCTGGAGCCCACACACTCCACTCAAGCCACAGAGCTCCCCTGCCCAGGTGTGCTGGGGAGGGCGACACCAGGGCTCCCTCAGTCACCAACAGCTGCCTCCCCACTGTGCCCAGGGCCCAGCCCTGGCCTCTGAAATCGCCCGCACTGCTCTGCCCCGTGGGTGGTGGCGGGGCTGAGCGCGCACTTGAGCGATCACATGCAGACATGAGGAGCAAAGGAGGTGAGGCCCCTCCTGACCAGTGAGGGCTCTCACCTCTCAAGTACTGAGTCAATCGAGATATTTCTAAAGATAGTCCATTTTTGATAAATTAGAACACAATGAAACAGTGTATCTATAATATAAAAGAGTCCAGTTTAAACTGTGAACAGAACAGGTGCACAGACCCACGTGTGATCACAGGAACCCTGAAAACAGGAGGGCTGGCTGTCCCCAGAGTCTGCTGCTTCTGCCACTCCCAACAGAACGGCTCCGCCGGGGCACCAGCCCCTGAGGCGTCGTGCAGCCACAGCCTCAGCCCTCCGCGCCCTGGGCGGCGGGCTCCTCGCTGGCCTCCGGCCTCCGGTGCCGGCGCATGTGCCTGTACTTGTCCACGTACGCCTTCACCAGGTTGCCCACCTTCACAGGGTTGATCTCTCCGCTCTTGCTGTGGCAGATCTGGAGGGATGGGGGGCACAATCACGCAGAGGTCCTGTCACAGCCCAGACATCTAGCGGTCACAGTCCACCTCCCAGGGCTGCTAAGAGTCCCACCAATATGACCAAAGACGTCTCTCGAGGTCTCACCTTCCTCATTGCTACACGTGCCTGTTTCACAAGTACCGAGGACGCTATCCTGACCTCCCAACGCCCTCCCTCCCACTCTTCCTAGGCGCCTTCCTCTGCGCTCAGACACCCGGGGATGTGTCAGTGAGACGTAGCTTGGACACACCGGGCCCCGCTCACCTTCTGCACGGCCTTGCGGAGGATGTCTTTGTACTCGTCCTTAGTCACTTCTCTCCTCTGGTAGAAGGGCTTAATGGCCAGCTTCACCTCCTCCACCGCCCGCTCCTGCACGTGCAGCTTCTTCATGTACTAGGAGTGAGCACACGCGTGTGAGCGCCCCGCGTCCGGCCCAGCCGCCCTGATGCAGGAGCAGGACTCACCTCCTCATTCTTGGCCTTCTCCGCGGCTGGCCGGGGAGTGGCCATCCTCTCCTCTGAGTTGTTGGTGGCAGCGGCATGGCCAGCAGGCTCTGAGGCTGTGGTCAGGATGCTGGGCACTGGGGCCGGGCTCTGTGCCACCCCGCAGCCCGCCAGGGGCAGACTCCCCTGCAGGATGAACTGGACCGTGGGCTGGCTGACCGGTGCGTAGGGCGGGATGCTCAAGGGCAGGGCCGGAGCAGGAAGCAGGTTGGGGCTATACACCTGGGCGAGAAAGCGGCCCGCTAAGGGCAGCTCCAAAGCCACAGCGCACCCCATCCCCTCCCGGAGCACCGAGAACCCGGGCAGGAAGGGGGCAGCGTGACGCCCTCTACCCGAGCCGCACGCAGCCCGAGTGGCCGGGTGCAAGGCCTCCAGCACAGGTACCCACCTGAGTGGCATCAGCGTCTAGGAAGCCAGGCTCTGGAAGCAGGTGACCATGGGGAGGAGGCTCCGGGAGGGGCGCCTGCTGGGGGGCCGCCACAAGGCCCTTGTCTTCAGTTTCCCAGGCCTCTTCCTGGGGCTGCTGTGGCCTGTGAAGTGGCATCCCTGAGGGCCAACACAGGGGAGTGGGTGCTCTGTGGCTATCTCAGCCGAAAGGCTGCTTCTTGGCTGGAAAATTCCAGAGAAGCATCCCAGCAGCAAGGAACACAGGCTGGGCTGCAGCCACCTCCTTGATCAGCCCTGCACCTCTGCTGTGGCGGAGACGGCCCGTGTGCTGCCCGGCACGCTCGCTGCCCAGCCACCCCGGCACGCCCAGGAGCACCCTACTCACGCTGGCCTCTGTCCTCGGCCAGGGCGCTGCCCACCGCCTCCTCCAGGTTCCAGGTCACTCTCTTCACCGGGGCCTTGGCCCGCAGCACAGGGGTCTGAGGGGGGGCCTCTTCCTGCCCCACGGCCAGGCCTCCCAGCGTGCCAGGCACCGCAGCGGCCCTGGCCGAATCCCGCTGCAACAAGAGCAGCTCTTGGGGACCCTCGGCCCAGGGCAAGGGCTGCATGGCATCTTCACCGTGCATCAGCGACACCTCCCTTCTGATGACAGCCATGGCCAGGCTGGTGTCCTGGTGCTGGCTGGTGGCAGGGACGGCAGGGTTGAGGGGGAAGGCTCGCTCTGGGGAGGAGTCCGTGCTCTCCGGGGAGGGTGGGGAGCTCATGTCATCCAGCTGCATGAAAATGCCTTCCCCCGAAAAGTCTTCAAAGACATGTCCCGCCTCGACGGAATCCCCGTAGTCCAGGTCCTCGGGCAGACACCCAGCTGGCACCTCTGGGACAGCAGTGGCCCTTGGGAGGGCCTCGGCCTCGGCCCCTGCTGCTGAGGCACTGGCTCCTGCCAAGGCCGGCGGCTGGGCGGGGGGCTCGCTGTACGGCTGCGGCTCTTCCTGGGGAGGGGGTGCTGGGGAAGCCCCCTTCACTGGAGGCTTCCTCTCCGGGGAGCGGGGCCGGGGCCGTTTCTCACGGGAACGAGGCCGCCGGTGCTCGCGGGACCTGTGCTCCGCGCTCGGAGACCTGGGTGACCGGGACCTGTGCTTCCTCCTCTCACGGGAGCCCCGTCTGTCTCGTGGCCGCTCTCGGCTCCTCTCCCTAGGGTGGTGGGGCCGCCAGGCCCTGTCCAGGCTGCTGGGCGGAGAGCACCCCCGCCCCCAAGTCCTGGACCCTGACCGCCGTCGCCTCCTCCGCCTGCTGTCACGGTGCTCATGGGAGGAACTGCCTGGGCTGCCAGACCGAGAGCGGGACCTGCGCCGGCCGGGGCCCCGGAAACCCCTGCTCCTCTCCCTGCCCTTGTCCTTGGCCTTCTTCCGCCTGGCTCGCTCGTGGCTGCTGGAGCCTTCACTGGAAGATCTCCGGCTCCTGGCCTTGGGCTGCTGCCTCCTGGTGTGATCCTCACCCACCTGTGGCGACACTGACCCCGAGCTCCCATCCCCGGAGCGGGAGCCGGAGCGGGTGCCTGAGCGTGTCCTCCTGGGCTCCCTGGCAGGGGCCTGCTTCCTCCTGGCCTCCTTCCTGCCGCGGGAGCTGGATGTGGAGCGGGAGCGGGAGCGGGAGCGGGAGCGGGGCTGGGCCCGCAACTCCACCACCCTGTGGGTGGGTGGCGCAGGCGGCGGGACATCTGGTTCCGTCCCCGTCACGCAGGTCACTGTCCGTTCCTCAGCACCAAAGAAGGAGCTGTGGAGTGGTGGGTCCTCGTCCTCCCAGGGCCCCGGTGGGGACAGCCTTTGTGCCCGGGCTGCTGGGCCCTGGCCCTCGGGGGGCCCCTCTTCGCCCGGGAGGTTGAGCACATCTAAGGAAGGCCCGTGAGGGGACCCAGGCTCCTCCGAAGAGCCCGCCTCCACAGTGTAGGAGGTGACACGGCGCACAGCCTGCAGAGGCGCGGCCCTGGGGCTGTCCACGGAGATGGTGCGCGTGATCTCTGATGGCAGGAGGCCAGAGCCCATGCGCTCGGGGCTGCTGGCGGAACTGGAGTCGGAGCCCGTGGGGTCAAAGGGGTCGTAGATCTCGCTCTCGAGCTGCTTGGCCTTCCTGAGGGAGAACAGGGCCGAGGTGCTGTCCTTCCTCGGCACCTTGCTGTCCACGGGCCGGAAGGTGTCGCAGAAGCCGGGGGGGGGCAGTCTGCTGGCGTGCGCCGCGCTCCCGGGAATGTTGATCCGGAAGCTCTGGAAGCTCGTGCCACTGCCCTTCGCCCTCGAGGGTCCTAGCGGGCCAGGGGGCTGGGCACCACTCCCTGAGTGTACACCGGGCTCCTGCGAGGCCCTGCCACGGGGCTCGCCGTCGGCCCGGGTGCCAAGGCCGGGCTGCCCGGGGCCCTCTCGGCCCGTGAGCCGGCTAATGCACGAGCTGGGGATGCTGACCTGCTGCCCACTGGCCGGGGCCGGGGCCGGGGCCGGGCCCTCCTGTCTGCTGCCTCCGTCGTCCCTTCTGATCTTTGGTATCCTGGGTAACTCACAGATGTCAGTTCTCCTGGGAGCTGGTCTGAGAGCTGGTCTGGGGGCCTGTCCCAGTCCAGCACTCTTAGATGGCAAGTTACTATTTGAGGTCTTAGATGCAAATCTAAGAGGCAGAGCTTGCTTGCTGTCACCATTAAACTGGGGGCTGTCATGTCGTTTGGAGCCGGGACTGCTCGCATGCGACGCATTCTGAGCCTGGCTGGACCGAGGGGCCACTGAGGACTTTGGCCTTACCGCAGCACCCCCCGTGAGCGCAGGGACGCAGGAAGGGGCGGGCCTGCCCTGACAGCATGAACCCAGGCTTCCCGAGCACCCCGAGTGTGGCGCTCCAGGCCGCAGGCCATCCCCAGGCCCATGGCCTTCTCCCCCGGGACACGGACCCGCTGAGTTTCTCTGAAAAGAAACCGGTGCTGAAAGACAAAGGCAGAGAGGTCCCGTTAGGAAATTCAACCATTTGTTTAACCTTTATGAAAATGACCGTTCTTTAAGCTGTGTGTTTTAAACTCTTCCAGTTTGCTCCCTGAGCTGGATGCTCCAAGCCAGGGGTGGCGGTGCCACATGGACCTCCATTCGGACAGGCTCGCGGCTGCAGTGGCGCTGCAGGGGCCGCCCTTCGGCCTCACCTCTACGCCACTTGTGGACCACGACGTGCCCAAACCACACAGACGCATCAAAGGGGGCGGGATGGGAGGTGCCGTGCCCTGTCCACTGTGGCCCTGTCCCTTAGACAGCCTGCCAGGGCCCAGATCAGAGGGGGAATGCCCGGCGGCTGGCTCCCGTGGCGGTGAGAACACAGGCCAGCCACATGACGGCCAAGGAGGGGCCGCGGGCTGGAGACGGCCGTCACCTGAATCATGTGCCGTGCGCAGGAAGTGGAGGAAAATCGGCGGAGCCAAATGTCCCCCCGCCCCCACACCCTCAGTGAGCGGAGACGCCCTCAGCACCTCAGCGCTCAGCCCACACTCAGAAGCCGGTGCCGAGGAGCCAGGGTGCACACTGGTTTCTGGGGAGTCGCGCTTCCACGAGTGTGGAGGGAGCGGGGCGAGGCGGCGGGCTGGGCCAGCCGTGCAGAGCTGCCTCACCTGCCCGCTTGGCGCTGAGCGAGCCGTCCCGGTGGATGGTGACGTCGGCGCTGTCCATTAGCAGGAGGCTCTGGCCAGACAGGATGCTGCCTAGCAGGTCGGGCACGGGGGCCGTGTCCATCTCCGGCTCTGGCGCCACGGCGGGGACATTTCTCCTGCAGGTGCAGAGCAGGCCCTGCAATGCGGCCCCCGCAGCCCCCACGGCCCCCCGGTCCTGGCTGCCGTGCTGAGAGCAGGCTGGCCTCCAGCCCTCAGAAGGGAGGAGTGAGCCCCCCAGCAGCCACGACTGAAGGAAAACAGGCTGTAGAGGGTGCTGCCCTCGTGGGGCGGGAGCTGGCAGTCTCTATCGGTGTTGCTGGTTTGCTGTCTTTTATTCCCCGAGGGCTCAAACATCAGAAAAGCACCAGCCAAAAAGCAGCACAGGAGCCTGGCTGCCGGCCAGCCCCTCCCCCATGGATGCGCTTGGTGAGGGGCAGGCACGCAGGTGGCCCAAGGAGCTGCGGCCTGCGGCGTCATCCCCGAGCCCTTGGGTCAAGACTGGCCGTGGCACTTCCTGATAAAGAAGCCAAGGGGAGGGGCCAGAAGGGTCTCTGTGTCTGGGAGGCAGGATGCCAGACCAAGGTAGAGCCCCACCCAGGACCACTGGCCCCGCTGCCCTAGGCCCCCCAGATGTACCTGGACAGCCCCATGGAGACGGGCCGGGCCACAGGCCGGTGGGACCGCAGGGCCGACCGGGACAGCGCCCTCCTCTTGGCGCTCAGAGGGGAAGCTGGGTTTGCAGCTGGCTCTTCACTGCTGGAGGGAGGACACAGGCCAAGAAGAACAGGTAACCCACACTCAAGACCAGAGGGACATCTCCCGGCCGCTGCTCAGTGTCCAGCCAGGATGGGCTAAACACTGTCCCACGTGGCAGCGCCCAGGACTGGACACCGCACACAGGACCGGGCACGTCTGCTTGGGTGGCTGGCCAAGCCTCTGAGTGGGGACGGGGTGGGGGCGGGGTGGGGGCAGATGCGTGAGTCAGATGCTCCGGGTGAGGGGATGAGCGTGTATGATCCTTACTACACGGCACGTGACTGCGGATGATGCCCAGGCAGAATCGCCACCCTCCTTTTAGAAACGGGAGTGCTGAGGTTTAACCACGCCCACCGCCCACACTAAGAGCAGAGGAAGATGACACCTGGCTGTCCGAATACAGATGGTGCCTGCACAGGACTGTCCCCCCGCAGTCACCTGTCGAAGGGGTCCAGCTCGTAGGGGTCTCCAAACAGAGAGAGAGAGGCGGCCCCGATATCCGCACGCAGCAGCCCCAGGGAGGGGTCTGCAGGCTTGTATACCGATGGGATGCAGGCCCCACGGACAGGCCTCCGCAGGCCCAGCGTCCTTGCAATGCGACAACGAGCTGTGACTTCATTCTGAACCGCAGCGACAAAGAAAAAGAGTAACTGACCAGGGAGACTGAAATCTGAAGGTTCTAGAAAAGCCATTGGGGTGTGAACCAGCAGCACCCGACACCAGCTGGATCGACGCTACACCCAAGCTGCTGGGCCCCACGACGCGCAGCACAGCACTTTGCGGGCTGTGCCAGCCGCAGAGCCAACAGTGCACCCCAAACAGCGGTGCACCCCCAAAGAGGCCGTGGGCCTCTGCGCGCTGCTGTCATCAGGCAGTGTTTGGTTTTGAGCAAAAATTCCTGGAAGAGGGGAGAAACCGACCACCTGATAACTGCCTCAGCAGCCGTGTTTTAACGACCACCTGAAGAGCAGATGTCGTGGGGACAGCGTCCCTGGCACAGCCCCCACGCCCCTGCTCAGGCAGGGGTCCCAGGACTGTCCTGGTGAGGCCGGGGCCAGTGCCCACGTGCAGCTGCAGCTCTGGCTTTGACACACCGCAGGAGGGTCTGGGTGAAAAGCCCCGTGTTCTGTTCTTGCACTTAAAACTAAAACATTTTTCCACACACGCCCACGCTCCGTGAATTCATACGGATTGGGCAATGTTAGTATAATTCACGTAGAACGTGGGACACACCTGGACAACAGCTGCAGTTCAGCCCTTTACGTTCTATGGATTAAACGTCTCAAACGTCCGGTCCAGGACCCAGAGTGAGGAGAAAGCACTTGAGAAAAGGGCCGTGCGGCCACCCCTCGCCACAGCCACCTCGGCCAGGACTCCCGCGCTGGCATCTCCCTCTAGACTCACGCCGGCAACTCCCATACCCCAGGTGACAGTCAGCGAGCCTCCCTGACAAGCTGGTGGCCTGGCCCAGCCCTTGGGTTTCAGGCCTCTCGCACCACCCCTCAGGATGCCAGGCCCCAAAGGACCCTGGGAAACACCTTGTGTCAGCCCAGGTCCAACCTGTGCTGCGGGACCCCAGCCCCACCGCACCGCGGACGCGAGCTGGCCGTGTGACCGCTACCTTTGGCGTTCGCCCCTTCCTCTTCTTGGCGCGGCCCTGGCGCCGCCTGGACCTCGTCCCGGAGCCTTTGCTCCTCAGAGACGGTCTGCGCTGCACTTTCTTCCTCCCTGCCGCTCGCTTCCGTCTTCCTGCAGAGAGGACGCGGGCGGTCAGCGCTCCTCTGTGCGCCCGCACACCGCTGTGGCGTGGGGACGACCACAGACGGGCCAGGGGTCTTAATGGACACGCACACTAGAACCCAGAGGGGCGGGGCGGACACGCGGCGAGGGCGACAAGACTCCGGGGTCCACTGCGGTTTGCAGCTCTGACTAAAAACCGATACGCGCTTTACAGACTCATGACACGAAATTAACTAGAAGAAACAAATCTTGACGACCGAGGGTACGATGACACACGCCGCCGGCTGTGCGCACTTTGGGGTCTAGCCAGAGAAGAGCTCTCCCGAGAGACGTGAAAACTCGTGGTTTCCATGTGCATTCATGAGACAAACCTGCTGAGGTGCCCAGAGTCCAGTCCCAACCAGTCACCACGGGGATGCTGCGTGGGGCAGGCCAGGTGGCCCCGGGGTCAAACACGCCAATGCGCCAGCGCCTCTTAGAGGTGCACAGGAACCTCGGCACAGAGGAGGGGGCGCCAGGAACCCAGAATGGACCGGACCCGCGCTGCACGCTGCACACTCAAACCCGTGCGCTCACAGCGCTGAAAACCTGGATGGTCCCCACTCTGGTCACTACCGACAGCAGGCGTGGAAAGCCTCGTCTCTAAAAGCCACACGACTGGGCAGCAGCTGGTGCAGGTCAGCCTCCCCTCGCCATCCCAGTGCATCGGCCTGTGCCCTGGAGCACCGCGGCACACGCAGGCCGACAGACGCCCACCCCCAGGCAGCCTACAAAGCCTTGCGCTTGCTGGACTGCGAAGCTCCAAGCACCAGGCTGTAGGTGGGCGGGGTGAGCAGCTCAGAGCTGACGGTGCCTGGGCAGGGCTGACCAGGGGGACGCTCAGGATAGAAGACTCCATGACCCAGAGGACACACACACTTACCGGGCACGGCCACCATCCAACACAGATCTTACTTGGTTCTGGATTCAAAGAAACCATTTTTTTAAAATTCTATGACATTTATGACACCATCAGAACTTTCAGCACTGACTGCTGTCGCATGGCGGGAAGGAGCTCGCATCCTCAGGCGTAACAATGGTACGTGATTAAATTAAAAACGAACAGTCCCTCTTTCAGGGACATATAGCAAAATGTTTACGGAAAAAAAGATGAGGATAAGAAAGATTTGCTTCAAAATAATGTGGGCGGCAGTGGAGATGAGGCGACACTGGCCAAGAACCAAGGCAGGACAGGCGCCTGGGCGGAGGCTCCGGCCTCCCTATCCACAGGCCCAAGGCTGGTCCAGATCTGTAAGGGTTTCGCTGGTGAAGCAACAAGCTCAGAAATGATCTGTTATCACTGGTAACCTGTCTACCTGTCACATCTTTAGCTGGGTACCAGTTAGGGTCAAAGGGAAAAAAATCTTCAATCCTGTTCTAACCACATAGAATTAGAAGCAGTTTGCGGTTTTCACTCAGCCTGCCCTTGCGTGATGGGGTGGGGAAGATGAGCCTCCACACGTGTGAGTGCCGGGAAGGGGGTGTCTGACACGTGACAAGGGCGTGCAGATGTGAGACATCAGAAGTAAAAGGCCCGTAACCCTGGATTTTAAGTCAAGGATCGGTGTGAGTGGAGGGGGCAGCCCCGAGCTCTGACCCGCAGACAACACTGCGGAGCCCGGGTGTGCCCGCGTCCCCGCTGGTCCTGGGGCCGTGCGAGGACAGGCTGCCTGCACACACTCGGCACGTCCAAAAGCAACAAGGCTGTCACGGCACCAGTGGTGGGGGACACAGGGCCCAACAGACCTCGACTCGAGACCCAGCACGTGCCCCTGGTGTGGCGAGGACAAACGCTGACCTTCCCAAGTGCTGGCCAGATGTGGAGCACGTCGGGCTCAGGCTGTGACAGGGTGTGACTCGGACACGGCCCATTGCACGCTAGGCTGAGAAATGAAAACACGTGCCCACGACAGACTGGTACAAGAGCCTTCACGGCCCCTCGATTTTTAGTGGCCTGAGAGGGGACACAGGCCGTGGGGCGCTCCCACAGGGCCTGCTCCTCGGCACGCAGGCGGAAGCGGACCCCACAGACCCCAAGCTGTGTGCTGAGCAGCTGGCCTGAGCACACTCGGGGGCGCGGGGTCGACAACATGCACAGCTGACCTGGTGACATAGAGGACAGTGCAGCCCGGATCGCCCATGGGACCAGGGCGTGGCCGGGAGGCAGGACTGGGGGGCGTCAGGCATGTCTGTCCAATCAGAGTGGACGCAACCCAGACCGTGGGTGTCTCAATGCAGCAGGTTAGGAGCCCTGATCGTGACTCACGGAACAAAACGGATAAACAAATGAGGGGGCAGAAATCGGAACCGAACCACAGACCATCAACAACGTGACATTGGAACAAAACCGACACGGAGCGGGAGGCAAACACTGTGGCAAGGCCCTGCCCCGGGGAAGAATGGGACTTAACTGGGACGAAATTACCAGAATGAGCACAGAAAAGGGCTAGGCCACCCGAAAGCACGAGGCAGACACTCGAGTCGGTCCTTCCACCTGTCCCCACAGAGGAGCCAGGCCCGGGTACCGCTGGGAACACCCTACCCCTCCACAAAGTCCAAGGAGCACTCCAGGACCGCGTCCCACCGTGTGCGCTCCAGGGGGAAGCTGACGGGGGCATGGCGTCCAGCCTGCTGCTGTCAGGGACACGCGCGCGCCAAAACCACCGTGCCCCGCTTACCTGCTCTCCTTCGCCGCTTGGTGGGGGCTCGGGGCGTCGTGGGGCGCTGGTACACGGCAGTACTCAGGCCAGAGGCGACGGCCTCGATGGTTTCGTCGAGCAGGGAAGACGTCAGGTACCGTGGGATGGGCTGAACAGCAGAGGTGGCACCGGTCAGCAGGGTGGCCACAGGACGTCACGCAGCACCCTTTCCCAGTGACAACCCTGGGCAGAGCCGCAGTGGGGAGACAGCACCTCATCTGGCCCCTCGTGGGACCCGAGACACCTCCATTGAGCCGAGCACAGAAGCTGATGCCCGCAGCTAGCACCACCCTCTCACCTCCCACAGGCCCACGGCTGAGAGCTGCCGGGGACATGCCCAGGTGGGGTGGGGGATGGGGAGGCCTACTAAGAAGCAGGTTCAGGGCGAGGGCAGAGGGACCCGCACGGCCAGGCGGGGTGTGGGTGGGGGGCTCGGGAAGAGGTGGTGGATCAGTCGGAGGACGAGGGGGATGCTAGTGGGACGCAGGATGGAGGCGCAGGGAGTCCGGAGGAACTGCGGGCCTCTGCTCTGAGGGCCGGTGGTGGGAGTGGCATTTGTGACAAAGGTACCAGGACCCAAGTGCCCCTAGTCTTCTCAACCCATCCTCCAGTTAGCGACCCTCCCCAGGGGCACACACTCAACCGCAAAGGACACTGACCGACCCATGATCCTGCCACCGCCCACAAGTCAACTCCACACCTGGGGTACAGCCCTGGAGGGAATGGGGAGCGGGACCTAAGAGACAGGGAGCCCCACCTGGATTCTGCTGGCAGTGGACATGCGGTTCCGGTTCACGGTGGCTCGGACACGCTCGCTCTGCCGCGTCCTGGCGATGGCCCGGGTCCGCCCCGCGCGTGGCCGCAGTCGGCTGGCGGTGGGCACGGTGTCGGCCAAGAGCAGGGAGACCTCCTCCTCGCTCCCGAGACCCGCGTCTTGGGGAAAACGAGAGCCTGGGCTGCTGCATGGCTGCCAGGCTCTCCCCACAGGCGGCCCTGAGCACCACGACCTGCCGCCACCCACCATCCCCCGCAGACGCGTCACCAGCCACCCCAGATCCTCTGCTCAGCTGCGCCCTGCCCTGGGGGGCAGTACCTGTGGCGTTGGCAGCAGCTCTGGGGGTGGCACACTCCGGACAGAACCACTCATCCACCGGCACCTCTCGGAGGGGCGGCTCCAGACACTCCATGTGGTACCTGCAGGAGACACAGCCCATGAGACCCATCCCCTCACTGACGCAGCCCGTGCCACAGAGCAGGCGCCCAGATGCACCCAAGGGCACAGCACGGCTGCTGGGGGCCGAACTGTATCCCCACCTCCGCGGGTTGGCCGCATTTGGAGATGGAGCTTATCGGCTGTGAGGAAGGTTAAATGAGGTCATGAGCGGGGCCCTGACTCTCAGCAGAGGGGACACCGTGCTCCTCCGCCCTAGCGGAGGAAGGGCCTGCGAGGACACAGCGAGGGGGCGTCTACAGCCGGGAGCTCTTGGCGGAACGGGCCTGGCCTCCCCCAGGCTGCAAGCAGCTCCCGCGCGCACGCAGGGTCTAGCCTGCTTGGAGGCCGGCCTGCCACGCTTGAGACCTCGGTCTTCTACCGTCCCAGCATTCTGGGCGGACAGATCTCTACGGCGGGCTTCTGGGCAGCTCCGTGCTCCAAAGGGAGCCCCACTGGTGCCTAGAGTCCCCAGAGGCGGTGCACCTACGTGAAGGGACCGGGCGAGAGCAGCGGCAGTGTGACCCCACGGGTCCACAGCCCATGGCGGCGTGCATCTCGAGGCCACCTTCACCTGGAGGCCGGCCGGTCGCAGACACGGCGAGGTATGTGCTGGTCCTCCCAGGCTGTCCCCCACGCGCCGCCGCCCTGCAGCCCGAGAGTTCAGAAGGCTGGCACCTGACCCTCTACAGCCTGGTCTGAGCGGCTGCTGTGTTGGCTGCGAGAAGCAGACGCGCCACCAGCCACCGTGTGCATTCCGGCCCCCACGCAGCCTCCAAGGAAAGTCACTTCAGGGAGCCGCTGCTGGCCCAGGATATATGTGCCAGAACTCTCCAAACTGCTTCCCAAGACCCGGGGCAGCCCCGGGCAGGTGAACCCCACGGCGACCAGATGCTGACTCCCGCGGCCCAAGCCCCGAATGGGTTTAGTTTAATGACCACGTGCCGCTCAAAGCTGTAACAGCTGAGGGTCCAGTGAGATGTGGGGCAGAGGACGATGCCTCCCTCCACGAACCCTCCTGGGACCGCACTCCAGAACCACGAGGGACAGGCACAGGGGGCGGGGCGGCGGCAACTCCCACCTAGGCCAGCATCGAGCACTGGGAAGTGCCCCGAACCCCAAGTCAACGCCAGCCTGAGAAGGCCCCCTTATGGTTTCAGGAACAAAATCAAGAGCTCAGAGGCAGCTTCACACCCCTGCCAAGACTCTCGCACGGCTGAACCAAAGTTCTCACCAAGCTCTGAGGGCTCGAGCAGAGGCCACTAGTGCATGTGACAGGTGCCCAGCCCAGCCACCTGCACCCAACACCTGCGGGGACAGTGCCTGCAACCCTACCTGGTCATACACGCAGCTCCCATGCAGCCAAGAACTGCCCTGCCGCCCAACGTGGACGGCCACAGCTATGTGGTCCGTGAGGTCTTGAGGTGTCTCCGTGGTGAATAAATACCTTTATGTTAGATTCCAATCAAAAAACAACCAAAAATAACCTGTCCTTTATTTCACATATTAGTGAAAGCACCTGGCGTATTCGTGCACCTACAGACAACCTGTGATTCCGTTTTAAAACGAATAATGGTGGGAGGAGGGACGAAGAAAATAAAATGTATAAAATAAAATAAGTCCCCCCCCCCAAAAAATAAAAATAAAATAAATAATGGAATAACTTAGATTTATAATTTTTAAGTTGAAAGAATAAATATAAGATAATTTAGCAGATAGCAAAAATTAACAGATAAGGTTGTTAATGTTTCAGACCCATTAGGATTTTTACGCACTTGAGTTTCTTAATGTGTTAAGAAATTCAAACACATAAAATCAAATTACATCTATTTTATGCACCTGCGTTTCTTAATGTGTTAAGTAATTCAAACACATAAAATAAATTTATATCTGTACAACAGGGAAAAAAATTAATGAAATTGTCAGAATCCCCAAAAATCGCTGTTAAAAGTTATTAGAATTAAAAAAAGATCTTGACATAAAGAATGAAAAGGATTAAGAATCACAGGCTCGGGTGGCTCCATGGAGTGGTGGTCAGCACGTCTGCTTCCCACGCAGAGAGAAGGTCCTGGGTCCGCACCCCAGGTGCGCGCCGCGAGCGTGTGGGAGGAGACGCCCCGCCTTTAGAGATCCAGTTCTTAAGGGGAAACGGCAACATCCGTAGGTCAGGGGTGGAAGTGGGGGGGCGGTGATTAAAGAGAGGGAAAAATAATCATAGGCTCAATGCAAAACTTAAGGAAAAAACTAGGCTTTGTGAGAAAAGCGCCAACAGCCTCAGCCAGGCTCATGGGCCGCCTGAGGCCACCATAAAGCACAGGAGTCGGGCGCTGAGGTCCAGCAGGGGTGGGGCAGGGGGAGCAGGGTGGCTGTGAAGGCCAGGCCTGTGATGAAAGCCACACGGGCACCGGGCCTCCCTCTCCACCAGCGGCGTCCCGCTGTTGCAGGCCCTTCCCCCATATGCCCAGCACGGCCACAGCCCCAAGGAGATGGACTCGTCTCGCACGTGAGCAGAGTTCTGAGCGCTCAGCCACCCCTGGGCCCTGTGTCCCCGTGAGACCACAGTCAGAGGGTGCTGCACTGCACTCTCTGGCCTACGGGACACCAGGCCCCACCTATGCCCTCCAGACTCACAGCAGCACACGACTTTGAGGAATCCTGAAAGGCCAAGATCACCAGATCGAGAGAACTGTCAGCGAATGCAGCTGCAAGTGGAGACTTGCAACAACGGAGGGGAACGTGACATTCTGTGAATGTGTGAGCCCAAAGGGCGGAGGCCACCCAAGCCTGGGCCAGTCTGCAACGGACAGTTTCCGCAGCCCTGTCACCACAATTTTATAGTAGAAAAAGCCTTCAGATGCGCAAGGAAACCGGGCAGAGGCTGACCAGGCAGAGGGCCTGGATCCGGGAAGACGGGGCAGGGACAAGGGGGACAGTGGCAGGGCCTGCTGGGCCCTGTGGCCAGCGGCGGCTTGGACAGGAGGCATGGGGGGGACCCGAGTGGCACGAGACAGTCAAGGGGGCCGCACTTCCGGAGCCTGGCCTGGCAGAAAGGCAGGTCCGGCACACACCCCATCCTGGGCCCCAGGCCTGCTGCCCAGCCCCATCCGACCTGTCACGTTCTCCTCGCCTATTTCCCTTGGTCATTGTGTGTGACGTACGTGTAAGCAGCCTCAACATCTCGGGGAATGGGTGAAGAATGTAAATGGCAATGACAAAGAGCCCATGGGGCCTGCTGGTACCGACAGTGTCACGAAACCCACGGCGCTGGGGGCAGGGGGCAGGTGGCACACAGGCACACGTCCCGAGCAGGGGCCCTGGCGTCACTGTGGACGGAAGCCCTGCAGGAAGTCCCTCTGACAGGTCGCAAACTGAGCCCTGCGCTCCAGGACTGGGCCCTGGAGACCACCGCCCACCTGTTTCTCGAGCCCCGGGGGGAGAACCTCACGCTTACCCAGCATCACAGCTGTCGCAGAGGAGCAAGCGGTCCTCCCGGTCACTGTGGCCACAGACCTCGCAGAAGGTGGGGTCCTCATCCTCGTCCTCGGCAGCTCTGGCGTTCTGCACTGGGATCTGGAGGCAGACAGCACCGCGTTCACGTGGCAGACGGAGCCCAGGCAGCACACAGCCCGACGTGCGGTCACTGAGAACAGGCTGCTCAGCTCCCGGAGATCACCCGTGCTCCGCGGGCCCTGACGTCTGGAGCCCCAGGCGCACATGGACTTCACGTTCCCGACCATTCCGGGGCAGTCGGCCAAGAAGAAAACACAGCAACCCCATGGAAAGGCTCCGGAGCAGAGCCAAGTGGAGACAGCCCAGGGACAGGCACTATACACGGCACCGCAGACACCGTGACCGTGACGACGGGCAGCAGCCCTCAGGCAGCCGCTCTTGAGCTGAAACCCATGGCACTGGGGCAGGTGGCACAGGCACATGTCCCGTCAGCCACTATCAAGCAGACACAGAAACACCACCTCCACAGGATGACAGTTACAGCTGTGCACCGGGAACCCCATCACAGGTGTTCCCAGGGGCCTCAGGACGAGGCGTCCAGCACTCAGCCCGACCCGTGGAGCTCTGCAGACAAGCCCTCGGCAGATGCAGGTGGCCTCTGTCCCCTGCCCACCTCCTGCCAGCCCGCCACCTGAGAGCCCAGCCCAGGAACTGGCATCCACTGCTCGCTTCCTCCACTGTGCCAGGAGCCCCCAGGTGACATGCCCGAGACACCCCTCTGCCTGCATCTTCACGCCAGGCGAGGCCCACGGCCCTCCTGCATGCTGCCACTCAGAGCTTTTCCCCACAGGGCTTCACCCCGGGAGAGCTCGGGGCCCGTGTGCTTAGTGGGCATATCCTCCAAAAGCACCGCCTGCGTGGAGAGTGCCCGCCCGCCAGAGGCCTCAGCTGCCCAAGGCCCAGGCTCTGGGGGGAGAACAGAGCACATGGGGCTGGCGACAGGGGCCTGGATCCACAGAACCAAAGCTGCCGCCTCCCGCAGACTCGAGAGCGCAGCGGAGAGGAAGCCGGCCTCCAGCAGAAACACGCCGGCTCGGAGGCCGAGTCCCCACGCGTGGCTCTGTGCACCCCGTCAACGAAAGGACAGGTCTACAGCACCGAGGCAGGCGCCCTCCTACGCTCACGAGACCTACGGTGAGTCTCTGGTCCCCGAAAACAGGGACGCATGGAGGCCTTCCGCGTCTCTGAAGAGCACACGCGCAAACGCAAGTGCTGAAGGGTGAAGGAAGCGGCCCTGGTGCCAGCCTGCGTGGCGCAGGACCGCGGCCACACACTTTGAGAACCCCGGACCCAGGAGGCCGGCCTCCTGTCCCAGGCCGGGCCACCCGTGACCTTGTCTCCCATGGCTGCCATGGCTCTAGACAGCAGCTCTGGCACGAGGAGGGGTGTGGGAGTAGAGGACAGGAATGTGAGGAGCTGCCAGGGTCCATGTCACCCTGCCACACCCCACCTGCCTTCCCCTGGAACCCGCAGACCCGGCATGGCTACGGGTGGCGTTTTGGAGGATTTCTAAAGAGCATTTGACCAATACTCACTCATTTCAGAAAATCCAATCCACCTCTCGAAGCGTGTTTTCCCACAACACAGGCACCAGTCATAAACCCAAGCCCTGGGGGGGGCTTCTCCACTGCCCGCGCCTACACTCACCTTCTTCAATATTTTACCGCCATAGCAGGCTCGGATACAAATACATTTAAACACGGTGCGATCGACTGGGCAGGAGTTGGCGTTCTGAAAGAGACCAGAGGTGCGTCAGGATGCTGGACAGCCCCAGCCCCGTCAACACCGCGCTCAGAACGGAAGTCAAGTGCCGCTGACCACCTGTGTCGCCAGGCCTTGTGCTGGCGACTAGGGACACAGCGGTGAGAGAGAGACAGGAACCCCTGCCTCACGGAAGAGAAAGGATGGAAGAAAAAGCGTCTGCACTTCACGGCACGTTACCGAGCGCTGAGAAAACTGAGAGGCGGGGGTGCGGGGACGAGGGAGTGACTGGCCCCGGGCACGGCTCCACCACGGGCCTCCGCTCGAACCCTCTGCCAGCGTCCCATGGGGCCACCTGCTGCTTCCTAGTGAGCGACGAGGGTTTCTCGACACGGCGTGGACACGCATCGGACACACGGCAGGCGTTTCGCCCTGCCTCCGCTGACAGTTTTGGCGCACCCGAGGTCCTAGTTCCGCGCTGCCTTTATTGGTGTGCTGTATACACCGACCCGCGCCATCTCAGCATGTGTTCCGATGAGCTCTGACAAAATGACATCCCGGGCAGCCACTGCCCAAGCCCCCTGCACCGCAGCCCGCTCTGCTGGGATTTCGGCTGTGCATGGCTCGCCCCCCAGGCAGCCCAGTGGGGTGCCTGTGCCCGTGCTGCTTCTGGTTTGGGCGGTAAAGAGGGCTGCCACGTGCATGCTTGGCGTGTCCAGCAGACGCCCTTGGTCTTTCGTCTTTGCTGGCTTGCAAGGCACCAGTGTGCCCCCTTGTGGTTGCGCATGTCACGGCCCCCCGCCCAGAAGCCCAGGGACCCCTCGCCTCACACGTGGCGTGCCCTGTCCTCCACCAGAGGCTCCCAGCAGCTGCGCAGAGCTGCTGCCTCACGATGGCACGTGCACGTCCTGGGAACCCTGACACCCCTGTACTTGCTGTCCACTCATCAATCTCCTCCGACCGGCTGAGAGCCTCGTTCAGGCCCTTCCCTGCTCTCTGACCCAGCCGCCTGCATTCTCTAGGGTACTAATCTCACTTCCGGCCCGGAAGCCACGTGGCGCTGTGTGTGGGGGGCCAGCCCCTTACCCATCTCACATATGCTTACAGAAGGGCCCCCCGTCTGTGACTGAGGTACTGCCTGCCACCGGCCGTGGGCGCCGTCTCCTTCAGTCCCCATGCCATGCTCCTGCTGCCCGTTTCCCATCCCGGGCAATTCCGGTGTGATCACTGGAGTCTGTAAATCTCAACATCCAAAAGCTGATTCCTCCCTTCCTGGCGATTCTTGGCATTTTCTCTCCGTCTAGGAGGCACTTCACAGCCCATCAAGTGCTCCGGATGCTGCCACGATTCGGATGAACCTGCATCCCCACCTCCCTCTCTCTGGAATGAGTCGATCCTTTCAGAAAGTGGTCCTTCTCCACTTGGTCTCGACTGTTTAGAAAATCTCTTTACAAGGCTAACACGTCTTCTTATGAATTGTTTCTGAGAATGTTACAATTTCTAACCTTTGTTAACCTGTATCTAGCAAGCTCTCCGAGCACAGCATTCTGACAGCTCATTAGTAAACAAATACCCCGCCATGTTCCTCAATTCAAAGGGGGCCTTCTTCGCACGCCCCAGATCTAAACCTAAATATAACCCGGGCAGCAGAGCCACCAGCACAGGACAGGAACGAGGTGGCGGAGGCAGAGGAATCCCCAGTGATCGCGCAGGAAACCCCAGCCAGCAGACATATGGCCATGTGGAGGGCACAAGTGACATCTCCGTCCTGGTTCACAGGTGGCGGACTGGGTGCTTCTAAGCTATCTGGGAAAACGAGGACCATGGGGCTGGGTGTCAGAGGCTGTGCTGTCACTATCAGTCTCACTGGGTCACATGACAGCGTGGAGATCTGTGACCTTCAGTGTCCGTGAAGGTGGAGCGACAGGGTTACGGGTGGAGTGACAGGAGGGGGCAGAGCTCAGGATGGCGGAGGTGACGTTCTGGGAGGCGGTGGGGTCACAGGGACCACTGCTCACCTGCGCTACTCTACGTCTTTGGAACTCTCTGCAGTAAGCAGCAGCGGGCCGCTTCTAAAGCTCAGCTGAAACACGCTGTGTGTTGCTGGTAAATGCCCTCCGCCTGTTTCAAGGACAGTCCCTTTCCTTGCTGGCCACCACAAATCAGCACTGAGCAGACTGCCATGCTCTGTCCCTCTGGATGGCTGCAGGCGCAGACTGGCTGACTCACGGGCTGACAAATCGACAAGTCATTCAGCGTGTCTGCAGACAGGTCTCCAAAGCACATGGGCCTGACAACCTTCCTCATGCAAGGTGTGTCACCCACAACCCAAGAGCCAGTGACACCAGACGAAGCGGAATCCGAGTCAGGACAACCGTGTGGTCCCCTTCCACCACAGAGCAGAGCTGGCCAGCTAGAAGCCAGCCGCAGGCTGGGTCCCTGTAGACAGAGGAAGCCGTCCCGAGGGAGGAAAGACCCCTGAGAGAAGCCACCTCACCTTGGACCATTCCACGATACAGTCCAGGCAAAAGTAGTGGGCACAGCTCTGCGGTGTCCCCACAACCTGGCCCCTGAAAGTGTTGAGACAAATGGGACAGCTCTCAGAGTCGTCGTCGGAGTTCAGGGCGCCGCTGGCCTCCAGCCTCCCCTGAGCGTCTGCCATTATGTCCACGTCATCGTCGTCTTCGGAACCTTCAGAACCTTGAGGAAGAGGAAGCAGCGTGACCGCGTGAACCAAGCATGGGGAGCCAGCGGCCGCAGCTACCTGCAGGAAAGCGCATTCCCAAAGCCCACACTCAAGGGACAGACCCCTTCACACAGCCCTGCCGGGTGACAGGCACTGGCACCTCACCTCTGGCTGCTTCAAGCCAAGACGACATGGCCCTCGCTGAGCAGCCACCCACTCCAGCCCCCACCTCAGCCCCCCGCCATAGCTGAGTCAAAGCTTGCAGAGGCAGGGTGCCCAGGGCCCGGCCCGCCTCCCACAGCGGTGGACTGGAGAGCCCCGCCCAGCATCCCGGCCCCTCCTCAGCATGGTGGCAGCGAACCGTCCTCCCTGAGAGGTCCGGGGTTGTCCTTCTGCAGGATGCGGAGTGCACCGGCCCCTAACCGGGCAATCTGGCCACCAGAGCGTCTGCAGGTCGGACCAGGGCTGGGGCAGTAGATGCCTTCTCGGCATAATGCATGTATTTCTCTTCCCTGCCCCCAAACTCCACTAAAATAAAGACGCATGTGCCACGGACAGAGGCAGGTGAGAGGAGTGGCAGCAGGGGCCGCCTTACCTGCCCCTGAGCCTTGCCCAGCTAACCCTCTGAGAGTGGGCAGGACCAGCGCCCAGGCCCCACGACTCCCAGGCAGAGAGGTTACGGGGTGGACGCGGCCTCATCAGGCGAGCCCCCCGGCAGCAAAGACAAACAGCCAGCGGAAGCCGCCAAGTGAGGGGTGGCCACTAGGGCCCCGCCAGGCGACGGCCAAAAGAAGGACTTCGGACCCGAACCACGAGGACTTGAACTCTGCCAACGAGCAGTGATCCTGGACGAGGACACTGAGCCTCACGCGGGAACTGCAGCCCCCTGACCTCTCGATGTCAGCTGGGGGAGAATGAGCAGAGGGCCATCGACTCAGCTCTGGACAGCCAACCCGCAGGACACCAAGATCATGAACGAGCTGTCCCGAGCTGCCACGTTTGTGGTAAGTTGTCACACAGCAGGAGAAAAGCAGTAAGATTGGTGTTCAGAAAATTTTGGAAGATGGCGAGTGGAAAGCCAAGTGACACTTTTTGTTCAGTGTTTCTGCTTTGCTGAGGGGCAAGGGGGCAGAAGCAGGTACAGGCCAGGGGGCCTGACTCTTATGATACTCCAGGGGCTCAAGGACTGAAGGGAGGCAGAGCTGGCTACCTGGGGGCCACCGGACCCTCTGAAGTCTCTGAGGAGCCATGACCACCAAGAGTGAGCGTAGATAAGGACGAGCAGGTGTGCAAGGCCCTTAGCCACGGACCTCCTCCACTTCTCAGGGGCCGCTGGAGACGGCTCCCCACAAGACGATGGTGTAGCCTGGTGTGGCCGCTGGCGGCGGGCCCCAACCCCAGTACGGATGAGGGCAGGGCACCCTAAAAGTGCCCAGTTCACATGAGGACCACACCGGAAGGCTTCTGGGCAACAGAGTGAGAGGAGGGGCCACAGGACAGAGCCCCTGATCTGCCGGCGTCCTGGATATTGGCCCCGGGCCCACGGCCCCCATCAGGCTGTGGTGAGGCTGCCTGAACTGGGGCGGGGGGCCCTTTTGCTCACTATGTCAGAACGCGAGGGCCACGGGGGCTGCTTGTGCTGTCCCTGGGAAAATCACAGCTTGTGCTGCTGCACATTCTCAGACGTTTTCATCTCCCGCCCTCACCAAAGAGACATACCACACCGTGTCACCAAACCGCAAGGAAGGATGACAACAAGAGCGAGCCACTGCCGCAGCTGAAGAGGAGGATTCACCTAGGGAACTGTCAGCCAGGGCCCACTGCGCCAAGCAGCTTTGCCCCAACTTTTCAAACCCCGCACAGGCCGATGTGCCCAAGACCACCATTCCACTAAGGACCTTTTAGAACCAGCTGTCCCATCACAGTGAGAGGAGTCACAAGGATGCCGCCCAAACGTCAGCGTTCTTACCAGATCCATCTTCCAGGTCCCCCTCCTCGTCCTCTCCATCAGAGCTGTCACTGAGCTCACTGCCCGTGTCATCCTCAGAACCCCCACTGTCGCTGTCACTGCTTTCTTCTAGACCGGCACAGGCAAAAACAAAGCCCGGGCAGAGTCACAACCCAGGCTGATGCACACCCCAGCCCCGGGCTGCCAGGGGC